GTATATTGCGTAATTACAGTTTAATTATTCCTATACATAGCTTGACTGACCTTGTACTTTAATAATTATTATCAATTAGGCCTCTTTTGCTTATCACGGATATTTCTTGGAACAGTATATTAATAGTATTACTGATGTTCATTGTGAAATTCGACAGGTAAAAGCCAATTTAGTGTATTTACATTTTTTCAGCTTTATTTTAATAAATTATTTGATATTTTATGTAGTCGGCGTCATATGGCTGCGGCATTATCGCACAATTTGGAGGGGAAGAATATTCTAAGTTTATACCAGGTCTACTTAAATTTGTATTTCATGCTGATTATTCTAATCAATTTAATTTCAAGCTACGACTAAATATATGCCGCATGGTGACTCATTTTAAAGTTGTCTATAAATAAATTATTCATGTTTTTCCCTTAGAATTTGTTCCACCTTTACTTAAAGTTATTACCGATGCATCAGCTAAAGAAATAGAAAACTTGACTGCGACAGAAAATGCAATTTCGGCTATCGTTAAAATTTGTGTATATAGATCGAATTTGATAGATGTGAACTTAATCCTAGCACAGTTTCTTAATTGGTTACCTATAACTGAAGACGAATTGGAAGCACCTCACATTTACGGTTTCCTTTGTAATTTGGTTGAAAGGTTGGTCAAATGCCTACTTTGCTGGAACATTATTTTGTCATTCTTTGTCGTCTGACTATTTCTATATTTCTATATTATTTTTTGGGCAACAGCAATAACGAGATAATTTTGGGCAAAGACAACTGTAACCTTCCTAGAATTTTATCAATATTTGCATCTGCTTTTATAACCGGTATTCTAGCCGATGATGTTAATACTAAAACGAGAATGGAAACCATTGTTAATCAAATTAAGGTAACGTGGCCGTCGTTGGCTTGATCAAATAATAATTTTTTGAATCGTAAACTTTCAATAAACTTTTCATCTTTATACGAAAATTTAGTCTGTCCCAGAAATGTGGAACTCTTGCCTACAACACCTTCCGGAAAGTGATAGGCAGATTTTTCAATAACCATTGCCATTGTGTTGGTATAGCTAGAAGGAAGTAATGGATGTATTTTATCATTTACCATAAGTCAATCACACCGCCTAGCTATTATCGATATAGATGCTAAGGTGTTAACTATCTATTCGTTACGACAATGAAGACTAAAAAGCAACTCCTGTATAGTTAAAGTTGGGTTTTTCTGAGATATTTCATGTATATTATTTCATTTGGTCATCAGCGTCACTGCTCTTGTCAATTTCTATTTGCTGTATGACATTTTACTATTATATCAACAAGTAAAAATGTATTCTTTGTTGTTAAGTCTATAAACGATAGCTCTCTTGAATTGAAACAGAAATAACTTTGTCAATGCGTTTAAAAAAAAGTAACCTTTAAATCGTTTTTACGTTTCCACACTGTAGAAGGAATGTAAAATTTTGGATAATTTTGTGAATACGACATTGGCAAATGTACGTTGCATCACCGTCATTGTGCAACAGTTGTAACATTTAACTATGGTTATTATGTTGTAATGAATGCTAATGTAGTATTAATAAGACTACATGATCACGTTAAGCCACAATCAATAGTTATAGAGGAAAAAGTTTGCAGTACTGATTCAAAAATTGATGCAAGATTAAATGAAATGCTTACTATGTAATCGTTATTTTTAGCCTTTCTAATCCTAATCACTAAAATAAAGCGAATTATGATGAATTCGCTGCATGTAGTTTGTACGATATTGCAAGTGCTTGAAAGAGGTATTTGTTAGTACTGTGACTAGCAATTTTATTCTTGGTATATTTTGTTGTTGTTTTATTTTTGCCTTGTTTGTAAATTTGCAGTGTCAGAGCGATTTCTACGATAGCTACAGTTTGGTGGACGTACGTATAGAATGCATTACCGTGCAGGCTCAATAGTAAGCGAATACATAAGACATTGTGTAAAGTTCTTATACTGCTTTTTTCTTCGGTACAGTATTAATGATCACTAAATTGCATACTAAAAGAATTTAAAATAAATGCAGGAATTGTATTGCTGTACCCATAGATGTTGCTACCTTCAATTAATTCGACTACGCGCGTTGTAGTACTTTGCTATTGTACCTCTCAACAACCATGATCGAGTTAATAACTTTATACCATAGTAGAGAGTACTAATTGTAACTGCGTGATACGTCGAATAATTCCAGTTAGAGTCAATATAGAGATATTCATGATTTGCAAAGTATGACATACTTGTACTTGTAATGTATCGTCTATTTCTACGTACACTAGATGTATAGTATATCTCGTCACTACTCCCAACGTCGGAGCAAAATCATGATAATGGATTTAAATATCAATCATACTGGACGGTGGTTAGTCTAGACGATATTCAATGATGGGCAAGGTGAGGCAATGCAACATTTTTCATGACAGTATTAGCACTGGTAGTTAAAGTAGTCGATCGTAGATTGGAAAGAATTTTTTTTTTGGGGGGGGGGGCATCTAAAATTAATACTAGAAGTTTCACTGTACGTAAAGTGATTAAAGTATGAGCCTGTACGGTATTGAAAAATAATTGACCAAAAATGAGAGAGATGAACCCTACTGCACTGCAGTGCTCTGGTAGACTACCAGATGTGATATATGTAAGAATGCATTAACCTGTTGTACTGCACCTAACGGGTTAGCATAAGATAAGGCAATGAATTACTAAGGTAAGGGTATAATACGTCATTATGGCTATACTATTTAAATGCAGTAAATCCTAAATAAAAGAGACTTTTAGTAAGCTTACCAGGAGGAGTGTATCAAAGTCTCTCGTGCTAACGTTAACGACTAAAAGAGTGGAAACACTACGCCAGTCACTACTGGTTGAGTCAAAGCACCTAATGTATCATGGCGTGATTTATTACGAATAGTTTTGCAGCAATCGTAACAATGGTAGGATGCCTACAGTAGAAGTACTACTCGATGCGATTGCTAGAGCTCTTTCAAGCCTACTCGTAACGTCTACCTTGGAAAGTGTCGAGTAGTATTGTTGATGATGAGGAATTGACTCTCGTATTACTTAAATGACAAAGCCATTAATATCATATTTTTGATGACTGATGTTTGGCCAGTGTTGGAATAGAATCAGAATTAAATGGACTTTGATAGTTGCTACTAAGACAAATGGTAGATCTTACAGTAAGTATTTCAGGGTAATTATTTCTTTTTATTCTTGAAGGGAACGTCGCTACGTTTCCACGACAACGTTGGCGTCAATGCATTGTTGTGATGGCGTAATTAATTAATTTACGGTATCTCTTTGTCTAATTATTGACCTATTTGCAAATTTAGAATCAAACTAGCAATAAAAAAATAGAGACCCTTCCATATTGATAGCCATACCAGACTGGAATTTAATCAATACCTCGACTGACGTACAAAAATTAATTAATTATATCGACCATCGTTGATTGCCAATACGGTATTGACGATTTGATCATCGAGTTCGCTACTCGGTATGATCACAAGCAGAATATTGGAAATTGAGTAGGCAGTGACTGATGAAAGTGAAAGAGAGTTACCTATCATGTTTTATTTTACATAGGTAGCATATTTTCTCTTCTCTACTTTCTCGATCGTCTACCATGACGTTGACCAGTAATATTCAGTTAGGGAAAAGGAGAAAAAATGATAATTACATTTATTACTAATTGATTGATTAAAGATTCACTTCCTGTTTTTATTAACCTATATTGGCATACTGCAAGTATCTCTTTATTTTGTAAACACAGGTCGTATTTTACATTTTTTTTTTTTCGCAGCTTGTAATGCTAACTCGGGTAGATGGACAAGAATGATAGCGATAAAGAAAAGATCTTTATTCGAGAATCAGATTTACCTAACTAGAAGAGATCAGCTTTAGCATGGAGCCATGTTAGAAATGCTACAACTGCGTCAGTTACATCTAATAGCCATATACTTTGTATCTATAGTACAAGGCAGTCAGCGTAGCAATGTCGTGATATATTGTGGTACGTTCTACTGTACGACAGAGCTGAGTATTATTTTTAAGCATTCAAAAGCGATGTCAAATCTGCAGGCAATAATTTATGCCTATGTTGAATCACGAGCGAGTGGCAATAGAGTAAAATGTAGAATGGATTTCTTACGAGCACTCACTCCTCTTGTCTTGCAATGAAATAGTATTGTGGTTGTCATCTGTTATTTCTGTCTACCCCTTTTGCTATTTGCTATTGATCGATTAACCTATGCTAGGCGAAAGTGCCCTGACGGAGCATTCATTTTGGTATTGAGAAATGGCGCCATGGACACGGTATAGATTAGCTATTTGTAAATTGCTAATGACTTCATGAAACACGCTATCCAAGTTTATTCAACTATCTTGCACTATACTGATTCCAGTTCTTCTTGTAATGTACAGTATTCGGAGAGAAATGAAGTCGCTGTCATGAAATTGAGCGAGTTGATGATGCAATGTGTATTCATTATCTCCACTTTGTGATGGAAAGTATTGGATCTGACGACTGCTGCTTGATCTCATTTGTACCATTGATTGTAATGTAATAATTAATTAATACGCGTAAGTTGATTGGACTGCCTACTGGTAAGCGTTAACGGAGGGATTACCGTAGTGAGTAGTGAGTGTTGTTCAATCATGCCTAAGCTGTAGTCTGTTGCCCATCGACTTTGTCTATCCTGTAGGTTAACAAATCAGTCGCAAATCATGTCATTTTATGAAGCAAGACGATAGAATAGAGATGATTGGCTTTGAATTTTCCGGTCGGCAAGATAGAGTGTTGATGCTCCCGCTCTGTACTTGATGTACATGTTATTCACTCACAGCATGTACTGTATGTCCACTGTTTTCAGTGGCTAATTGCCGACGACTAATTGTATGTCTATATCTCCATATGGATTATCAAGGGGTATCGCTAAAGTCGCTAACAGAGGTATAGTAGAAGTGCCAAGAAAGGTGAAAAGGACACGAGTTTGAATAAGTCTATCCACTCGTTGTCATGATATCGATCCTCGTCTGGACTGGATTAGTAGGCCATCAAGTCTATGAAGCGATTACCCCAGTACTGACTGTATCAGCAAGTTCGGTCGTGTAGGCATGATGGTCATGCAAGCATGTAGAGAGAGAGAGAGAGAGTGGCCATCGTCGTTGTCTTGACGAATCAATTAGGGGGGGGTTTAATATGTCAAGGTAGAGGAAATTTTAATGGAGTCAATGTATTTTCTTATCCAACAATGACTACCCTACTAAATCAACAAGTCACAATGGAGTTGTTGTTATTGATGTAGGAATAAGCATCATGCAGCCATGCCTGGATGGCAAATCATCTCCTCGATACAAGCGAGATGCAATTGTGAAAGAGTTTTGCAGTTGTTGTTGCACCCACTGTGATCGTCATCGGGTGGACTGTCCAAGTATTTCACTTGGCTATTTTTTAAAAAGGGAGGGCAAGGCGATCTCTCCCTTGTTGGCATCGCCATCTTGGCTATCCTCGTCGTTGGTGATGATTTGTTTGCCATGGTCGGATCGCATTTATTTAGCATCCGTCATCGCTGACTAAATCAACACCCTAATGTCTACAAAGACTCGCATACAATCACGTAGACGACGTGAAATTCCTCTTGCACAATCGCCATTTGTCATGACTGATTGGTCCTTGTCCATACCCCCCTGTTGGTGTGTCGAAGCGCCGTAGCCTAGGTAACCCCACCGAGTCGTCGTCCATCTTTACACGTACTGTACCGTCGAGTAGGAGGAGGGATGACGTCGACGCTACAGTCAACCCCATCCTTCAACGTCATCTAAGCAGACTACGGCGTGCACGCGTGGTTGATGCGTCGAGCGTCACCACCGCTCAAATCCAGCACTAGTAAAGCGC